GTCCAAGTGGCAGCTGGAGAAATGTTTCGTGCTGAATCCCATCAGCTGCACCTACACACACCCACCAAAGTTCACAAGGAACCCATCTAAGTGCATGTGTAGGCAAGAGTGTGAAGTCTGTGGAGATGTGGTGGTGTCGCGTGTGTCTATTGTTGGCATATTCATGGTTAGATTAAATCACACCTCATTTGTTCAACAGTTAGACAGCTAAATTATAAAGATATTTGTATTGTTGTATAACTTAAATTAATATGCAGTCTGGCTTCTTATATATCACACTTTTTATTAGAAATATTATTTTCAATGCACTTTTTCACAATTAATTTGCACCTTCCTTCCTTGTATAGTTCTTCATTTGAACTTACTATGCAGTGGTGGAGTTCAGATGGTTTCATTTTTCTTTTGATATTCCTACAATGTGTTTGATTGGGGGGGGTTAGGGGGATAGTTGACTAGAGCTGCAACAAAAAGTAAAGAACTTATGCCATGTATCTTGCCAATTTCTCAAGCAAAATGTTCACAAATCCCAAATGTCAGATTTGTATGCTTTTTGTTTGTCATTTATGATATCAATGAAGAATCTTTGAGATTTGGTTTGTTGGCTAATCTTTAGAAGCAGGTTAAAGTTGTCTCCTTGAGCCATGAGGACATTTTCTTTTAGCCTTTTGCAAAGTTTATCTTTTTTTAGAATCTTAACTGTGAATGGAATAATACTGAAACAACAAGCATATTAATCTATCACAATCAACCAATTGTTGACTTTAGCTGAGTTAAGAGTCACCAAAGAGATCATAGTCTAGTCCCGCAGGAATTACCATAAAATATCCTAATTTCTTCACAACACTGCACTCCACTTTTTATTTCATCTGCAGCTGTGAAACATCACTTACCTTCATATCTTGATGTGGAGAGACATGAATGCATAAGTGATCCAAAAGTTATGTAAGTGATGCTTCACCTCTCATGCTAATGATTTGGAAGAAAAAAAATGAGGCCATATGCCAGTTAGTGGCTCAGACTCTGGCTTGACGAACCCAATGCCGAGGGTGTTTCCTCAGAGATGTCGTATACATATTAATGCATTTCTTTTATGTGATTGAAAATCAGATACTTGGATGAAAAAAAAAGAAACCTTATTGCTGGTGATCTGCAAAGTAACACATTAAAATGATCCGCGTGATTTTAAACGAAGTGTGACATGCTTTTAAAAAGCACATTTTCCATAATTTCTTGGGTGGTCACCTGCCTCTCACATCACGTACCGCCATGTAGCAGAGCTGTCACAGCACACTTAAACTCTGTCTGTGCTCACTCATGCACTCTCTCCTGGTATGTGGCTGCTGCGAGCTGCAGATGGCCCATCTCACTGTGGCGTTAATCAACAAGCGCACAGCTCTCCTCCACCCACCTGCGACAAGAGGCGGTTTAATGTGAAATTAGCATGACATAATTGATGTGCACTTCCTCGTCGCGGTCTGTACAAGGACCTGTGGTGCTGCGGGTCTGTGATTCAAAGTGTACAGGCTCTGAGGGCGAACACGATGTACACACAGAGCCTGCTTGTCTCAGCCTCTGCCTCCATCCTCTCTGCTATCTCTCTGTGGCTTGCAAACACCCCCCCCCCTCCATTTGCCTCCCCCTCTTCTCCTCTCATTTTCCGACTCCCCCTTCTCTCCTCCTTATTTGCATCCCTCACTCTCCACTCTCTCAAACCTCCCCCCCCACCCATCTGCTTGCTGATACGGTGATACTGCGAGTCTGACTTAATAAAGCTTGAAGTACGTGTTGTCATTCCAACTGTCGATCATTATAATTATTCATAGATGGAGCTGAGATTGGAGTGGGAGGCGAGGTCTCAGAGCAGCAGCTCGATAGTACAGCATAGCGGAGGTGTTTTTTTCACTGGGAGGAAAGGAAGAGGTTGTCTTGTGCACGATTCAGCATTTTCTTTTTGTACTTAAAATATCTTGTGAATATATACGAGCATGAAATGTGTCATCTGTGAGTTAGTGGTTACTGGTCATGTGAGGCACCGGTTAGTCATACATATACCGGATATACCCAGCTATGTTTTTTGAATGAACAGAGATGACTGAACATGTGCTTCAGCTGTTGGTTTTTAAACTGTGAGTTATTCCTTATCCCATTGTTCGAAGCAAAAGGTGTAGAGGTTTGTAATAAATCTCACTGCTCCATGATAAACACTGTCCAGCATATACAGACTCTAAGCAAAAGCATTCATGTACAATACATCACCAATATCAAGGACAGGTGAAAATGTGAAAATGTTTAAAAAAAGATACCAACTCAATGTCATGCCCGTCTTTTTTTCTCTGACAATACTCTTCTTGCTGTTATTGAAAGTATAGAGAACATTACTTTAGTTGTGTCTGCATTTACAAGAAGACGCAGCTAACAGAGCTGTTCTTGTAATAATTCAAATGCACGCTGAAGATTTGGAAAATCTCATGCAGACTTAGATGCACAGCAGTAAAATGCAATGTAGTCATCATTAAAATAAAAAGTAGAATTTGTCCAAGGCAATTAATATTGATCAAAGATAAAAGTGGGCCCAGAACTGAACCTTGAGGTACCCCCTTGTATATTTGTAGTACGTCAGAGGTAACACCTTCTAACTGAACAGCCTGAGTTCTACCAGTGAAGTAGTTTTTCAAACCACTCAACAGTATGGTCTCAGAACCCTGTAGCTTTAAGAAAAACTAATGATATGCTGTGATTAACCATATCAAAAGCCTTGGAGAAATTAAATTAATAAAAAAACAATGAAAAAGCTCATCAGCCCAAAGAGACCTCTTTGAGTTTGTTTTATTGGCAAAACCAACATTCTAAAACCTAAAAGCTCATTCATTGTTTGTAATGACAGCTTAATGCAGAAAATCTGCACATTTAGACCGCTGGAAACAGCCAATGTTTTACAACTCGAGTAGAAAAAGCTCTGTCTTTCAATACTTTGTACTCCATAGTACAGATAAATGTGCTGAGATAACCCCTCTCTCACACAGCCTGCATGTACAAGTCAGCATTGCGTGTAAGACACTTAATGGTAAGGCCTCAGTCCATCCAAGCTTGGCTGTGTGATGGCCTTCGAGTGGGTCTAAGCTTCTTAGCATGCTCGCCTTTGCAACAAAGTGCTTAACAGCCCTGACAAATTTGAAAAAAAGTTTTGCATGTAATGTTGCAAAATGAATCAACTGCCCAGTGGCAATTTTTGTGTAGATACAATGGTGGATTTAAACCTGGGAATGTTGTGCTTGTTTGGATTACAATCTAGCCTTGGCAGCTAACAAACCAACCGTAACAAATGTTAGTGTGAAGCTTTTATTTAGGTATGTATTGCTGTCTTGTATTAAAAAATTGTTCCAGGTTGGCTGGTCACAAGAAATTTTGGGGTTTTGATGATTGAAATTTACCTCCCTTTTTTATTCAGACAACTGTAGTTGTTGTAATTTTGCAGGATTCTGTAATTCAGAGACAGTAGCAGTAATGATATACATCTCAGAGGTGGTTCTGGTGTTATATGTTTGTCTTTTAGGCCAAGGAAAGTATTTTATGTCGTGGTTATGATGTAGTCTTGATTACCTTTAGTCGTGGTCATGAAGTGGTCTTGATTTAAGTGGTCTTGACTATAACTCCTATGTCCATTAAAGTTAAGTAATCTCACATTCTCTTCACTTGAAACATCCTTTTTTTCAAGCTTTGAAACCAATCTCTTCTCATAATCTGAACACAAACAAGTATAAGACATTTTGATTTAAGGTACAGATGCACTTAATCTACTGTCAGCTGTTCTCATTTTCTTTATGACATTGGTTGTTTCTTTGGATTAAACTTAAAGAAACTTCCTAGAACTCTGCTGGAACTCATTTTGTGCTGCTGTTGCTAAAGCAGTATAGACAAAAAAAAGTCAAGGGTGAAAGTCAATGCAGCATTGTGACTCTGTTTCGATTGGAATCTGTGGATAACTAGACAATAAAGCCCAACAGAGAGTTAATGGAAGCTCTGTCAGGGTTGCTGACCTTGTCTTTGTCCATGAAGGAGTTCTTAGTTCTTCTAATGATTTCCTTTAGCATATGAATACATGTATTTAAACATACAGTATATACAATTGTATTCATGGGTTTAGATTTCTACAGTTTTTATGTAACCTCCCTCGAGTTTCACGATTCAAAGGTGTCAAAATAAACTTGGCTGAACACTGAAGGCTGCTGCAGAAATATATAAGGCATTGGCATGTAGCCCGCTGTGTATGCTGTACTGTAGATATCCCATCTTTATGACAAACAAGTCAATAAAGGGATGTAAGAAGGAATTCAGAACGTCTTTTCATCCTTCTTTTCAAGAGTTTTGGTGTTGACTGGACTTGTGTGGCACAGGCGTTTAGTGTTCATCACTGGGATTGTCTACTTACATATCATATCATTCACTCTAGTAGAAGTCTACCTAAGAAAAAGCTCAAACAATACAAGAAACACAATATACCCTTTTCAATTCACCTTTTTTTCATGTGGATACAATTGTTGTACCTGTGTTTATATTTGCTTCCTCTTCTTTATTGAATTCCTCTCCTGTTTGCTTTAGCTCCTTGCAAATGTAGCCTTTTCTATTTTATTTTACCTGCCCGATATTTTCCATTAACAGCGTTTCTGCACAGACCAAGGTGAATTGTGCTTTTGCAGTAACTTATAATAGTAAATGAAAAACATTGAAATTAATTAATTAGCCTTGAAACACGGGGGAAAACTACATAGATATGTTTTCTCTTTCAGATAGTTTGAAAGAAAAAATCAAATTCACAATGTCAAACATTATGGGTATGTTTCTTTTAGATGACATTTCTTGCCTTTAATTAGACAACTGTTGTTATTAAAAGATAATTGCAGGCTTAAATAAAGGACTATCATAATTGAGAAGAAAGAGGAAACCATCAGTCTTTTAGCCGAGGCCTCTAATTTTCCTTCATTTCTTTTCCTTCTTTACAGACAACACAGCAAGCATCATCGCCAGGCGGCGGCGCTTCAACCACCTGACCCAGGAGCTATACGAGCTGCCCATAGTGGTGTGGGATGGTGGGGAGCCATCGTTGAGCGGCACCAGCACCTTGACCCTGCGGGTGTGCCCATGCCAGCGCCACGGCAAGATTCGGATGTGCCAGGGGGAGGCGTTCCTCTCCTCAGCAGGTCTCAGCACGGGGGCACTGATTGCCATCCTGCTGTGCATCGTCATCCTGCTGGGTAAGCTGGGACAGCCACTGTTGGGACTTGCAGCAGGGGGGCAGCTGCCCGGGGGCCAAATATCCTCAGGGCATGGACAGAGGAGATGAACCATAAAAGTCAGGGAAGGGTGGAAAGGGTTTGACAAGGGCAGGGAGAGGAGGGAGGGATGAATAGACATGTGCAGACACAGGTAGAATTCAGAATGAGGGTAGAGAGAGTGGGAGAGGGCAGGGGTGGTGGAAAAAGAAGAAAAAAAAAATGTGAAGGACGGAAGAAAAGGAGGACACAGGAAGGAAGTAAGAAAAGTAGAAAGGAGTTGGTGAGGACAAAGAGAGCATAGAAGAGGCGAATAGAGTTTGCAGGGTCAGGGTGATTCAGAGAGGAGGTGTGCACAACTGAGAGAACACTGAGAATAAACCTGCAGTGGTTCGGGAGGGAATAATGACTCTGAGAGACCAGCAGCGGTGCTTGGTAGTTGTAATTCAGCAAGCTAGCAGGTGCTTAAGACCTGCATAGCAAACAATACGACAGGAAAACAAGGTTGATTATCACAGATACAGAACTTTATTTTTTCTTCAAATAGCTTTAATGCACGTAAATATACAAATAAACATTCCAAATGATATTCAACAAAAAAGCACCTGTGGCTCGAGTAAACGTCTGACTTAAACGATATGGTCGAGCTGATTCCTGTTACTGTTATTGGACTCAGCAAAACACGACACTACCTAGCAGCTGCCTACAAGCTGTGGTTAATGTTAGCTGGAGGCACAAAGCACATGACTCCATGAGTTTCTTTAGCTCACATTGCCAACTTACAATACAAACACTGCGATTAGTCTGTGAATTGTTTTCACCCGCATTGTCAACCCTCACTTGTTTATCAGTCCATAACCAGCTAACTAGCTTTATCAGCGTTGTGACATCAATTCAGATATTGTTTCTACTGCTTATTTAGAAATGTTAGATTCACTTCAGTCTGTTAATGTTCTCTATAAGATAGGAAGATGTGGGATGATTTCAACCAACCAATTAAATGGCAGAAAAAGGCAGTGAAGATCAACGGTCATAATTAACATTGCTTGAACTATTATCATTTAGTTTAGCCCCTCTTTCATGTTGCCATTGCTGAGAGCAGTGATGGTTTGTGTTTGGAAAGGCAGCTTGAATCAGAAAATCAGATTACACCTAAATCACATTTGTTCATGATTTGAATTTGCATTCAAATGCGGTCTCTCACTGTGCAACCGAACCTTCCTTCCCCAAAAACACCCCCTGCCTGGCATGTGTTTGACATGGCATGTTGCGAATAGAAGAGTAGAGGACAAGCGTGGAGGAACGTGGTGACAGCCAGCACAGATAGCACTCGCGTTGATTTCATGTGTGACGGATGTGTTCTGCAGCATGAATACCAAACTCCATGTGAAACACAGAGAAAATGAACCATGCTAGCATCCATGTTAGCAGCTCATTGCTGCACCCAGAAAAGAAACTCCAGTTCAATGTGTGTGTCTTGTGACTACAGAAACCAGTCTTTGTGATTACAGCACATGATTATAGAAAATGTGGACATTGAGGTGGTACAGATAAATTGAACTGATTAAATTTACCAAAGCGAACATTTACCGTTAGCTAAATTCAAAGTGGGATGGGATGAGATGTCATGGACCAATTTCTACCTCTCCAAACCAAACTGCAGGAGGACATGATTAGACCAAACTGTCTAATAACACAGCTTCACCTTCCCCTCCTCTCTTCAGTGATTGTCTGTGGACATTAGCGCGTGAAGGTTATGCATATTCATACTAGCTGTCTTCCTCCTCGATGCCAAACCCTCTGGCTGAGGCGAACAAAAGGCCATCACCACTGTTTGGAGCAGACGCTTGAGTGAGAGACACACACGCTGAATCCCTAATTGTCAGCACAAGGCTACTTAGGACAGAGAGAGGGGGAGAAAGAGACACAGGAATAAGACAGGGGGCTTATCACAACTTTTTTTTTTTTGTGTTGGACCCTTGGTGCGTTTTGGGTTCACACTTTCCAGTTACAAGCCAAGCGTCTCACACATTACTCACCTAAGTGACCGAGGTTTGCTAACCTGTTACACTGAGAGTTTTACGATTTTGTCAGTGGGTCAGTCAGTGGAAATAACAGGATCAGTCATTTCACTTGCCTGCAGCATTTCTTATTCATTGTCGAATGTCTTCTCTGATAAAAAAAGAAATGCTAAAATTGGCTGTCCTGGGTGTATCGTCAGAACATCCCCAATTGAATAACCGTCTCTGTTAACGCTAAGCATGAAGTCTTAATACTCATTGGACCTGTTTACACCTGGTAGTAACGTGATCGCTATCTGAATCCATTGAAATTACACCCCTTTGCATTCTGACCAGGTTATGATAAGAGGTATTATTAAATGTTTCCTGCTATCATTGAAATCAGATCAAAATATGCAAATTAGTTAGGCTAGGCTGGCAGACTCTAGATAGGATGCGTTTCGGGTCAGTGGAAGCAATGGTATAGAGACACACCATTTGTTTTTTTAAATCCTTTTTATGATGGAAGACATGCTAGCTGTTCCTTCTACTTGTAGCATTTACATATTGCTTAAGCTAGCTAAAGTCCTTGAATGGATCTGAAAATTTTTAAGAACGCAAAATTAATATTAACATATGGGTGCTATCCAGACACTATTTCTATTTCAATGTGATCTAGCTGATTCATGGCAGTGGCAAAGTCAGCGCATCATTTTCCTTATAAATAGAATTGGCATACCCTTTCAATTCTTTGACATCTTTGAACACGATTTGTTTGTGTCAGATAGTTAAACGTCTGCCAGATTAATGTCCATGTTATACCTCTGTGCCTGCTAATGAGCCATTTTAATTGGGCCTATGGTAAGGGCTCAACAAGGACTACAGCGTTCCTTTGAGCTGGTTTAGTTAATAATGCCCTTTAGACATGACTTAAAGAACATAAAAGATTCATAAGGAGATCATTGTTTCAATTATACTAATTACGTTTCAAATGAAATGGTGCGGTACAGTACTAACTGTTGGTTTATTTGCTGCTTGAGAAGCATCCTCATGGAGTAGCTACAAATACATCATATCCCTAAAATCTGCTAGACCTATGTACAAATTTCAAATCTCAAAGTCAGTTCTTATTCCAGCACCACAAGTTAAACGACATGTAGGCAAACTGGCACAAACACAAAGAACAAATATGAAGCTATTTAAAAACGGATTTTTCATTTGCCAATTTAGGTAAAAATTGACATGAAAACCATTGTTAAAAAGATCCATGATGAATGTGTTTCAAAAACACAATACAGCACATTTGGACTGGTAGCTGATTTAAAACATTGTAGTTTTAACTTTGCAGGGTTGTTTCCTTTGTATTTAATTTTCTCTTTCATTCAGTAAATGTTTTTTGTTGTTGCTTTAGCCATGTTATTCCAAGTTACCTGAAACGGCATGGTATTTAGATCAAATACATTATTTTACATTATAATATGGTCCTCCAGAATTCCTGCCCAACCTCCCATAACCGGGGTAAATGCAGCATAAATGAGACTTCTGCAACGGCTTCTGCTGCAGTAAACAGATAGCTGTGGTGTGGACTAATGCTCCCTGATGCAGTAAGTAGTACTCTGAGCAACAGTTAGAGCTCAACTGGCCTTGGCTAGGCTTATGAAATGACCTGAATACTCCATTGAGGGAGCATTAATGTAGCAAGTGCATTACAATATGGTGTGTATAGTGGATAGGAATATACTGCAAATACAAGTAGATCATGAACTCTGGAAAGTGAAGTCTGGTTTATGAAATGCTGGTGAATAATGACGGTGCATTAACTGAGTGCCTGGGTTTTTATTATATTCTGGCTGTTTACCTCAAAACTACTTTGAGGTCTTTAAAAGATTGTGGGAGCAGGAATAGGCCAAATATGAAGCAGCTTGAAAATATGCATGGGGGAAGAAAATGAAAAAATTCTTACTGCTGCTTACCGTGATTGACCCAGCTCACCTGCACACTCTCACATCCTTGCATTGTGTAATTGGTTGCTTTAAACAAGTTTGGCGATAAGCACTGTCCCACACAAATTGCATTTTTCACCCTTTGCAACCCCACTTGGGGTGCCAATGCACTAGGTGGAGTGGATTGGAGTGAATTTTTTCTCAGAGATTAATCACATGCAGGTTGCAGGGACATTTCATTTCAAGGCACTACACTGAACAATGAACAATATGCAGATGGATAAATATGTGCAAAATAACTTTCCATAGGGGTCTTATGTAGATGTAAGCACATTTTTAGCCAGTAATGAAATAGTTTATTTGGTTGCATTCTAAAGTTCGCTAAACATTGCCTAAGCGGTGTTAGTAGCAAACACTTCAATTAAAATCATGACAAATGAAAAGAGAACAAAGGTTACTTGTCTTGTAGAAAAGCTCATCGTAAATGTAGGTGGACCCCCATCATATAACTTAAACCAAAAAGTCATCTTGGGTTTATTCATTCATAGTTTACTCACTAGAAAGTCACAAGTTTGATGGCTCACGACATTCCAAAAAAACAGCACAGCAAAGAAAATAAGAGGGGTTTTTTTTGTATTGTGGCAAAGATTTAGACTGGTTCAACCTTTTGCATACGATATTGTGTTTTACCTCACATCTCATTTAAATGGGTGTGACCACAAATTCTGTAACATCCAATTTTTTTCCCATATTCACCATTGCAAGGTACCTTTATGGTCATCCTCATGAAATAGGGATTTCACTTATCGTTAAGGTTTACAGTTTAACGATCCATATTTAGTTTTGGTCCACTTGCTCAATACTACCACAATTAGAATGGGATTATTCTCACCTGCGCAAGTGAATTTAAGAATTAAAAGGCTCCTGTGTTTGACTCAACATCTCAAGTTTGGTGACAATACACTTATAGTCTGAGGCTTAAATCTTCCCCTCAAAACTGCTTCATAGTCCGTCTACAGCCTTACTCAGTTACCACAAAAATGTATCGCATGAGTGAACATAATAGATGAGCCAATCTACTGCATCATTGCATCTTGGAAGTTATGCAAGCTGAAACCTCTCCCTTCTTATAATCCACAGCCACCCCTTTTTTTTTATTTTTTATTTATTTGCTTAATTAATTCCTGAGGGTAAATTCTAGTTTACACTTGCTGAGAGACTTGCTTCTAACACTCATAGGTCTGGAAAATGCACATGCACAAACAGGACCTGTGGCCATGCAGTAATGGAGATATGTCAGAGTGGGGCTGCTACACAGGGAGGGTGCCAGGGCTCCTCGGCAGTAGTCAGGAAGTGATCTAGCACCTCTCCAGCCAGCAGACCAACTTCCATGCTTAGGCCCACAGACTGAGCTACTGCCGCCCCCAACCACCTCCCTGTCTCTCCACTGAGTGCTCAACTTTTAGTCATTATAATGACAGCTGATCTTACCCAGTGTGTTGCTGTTTCAATGAATACAGTGTATAAGTTAGACAAAAAACCTTTTCTGTCCATCTAGAAGGGTGGGTTTCATGAGTTTGGTTCCCCTTCTTGTTCTTTGTTATCCTTCCCCTGCTAACATCCAATGGAACTGAACAGAGATGCCCTCTGCAGAAACACTGATCTATCAAGCTCGTCTCTGCTAATGTAGCATAATGAACTCCTAAGAAACGGCACTTTAAAATGTACTTCCTCAGCTAACGCCATTCTACAAAATAGATGTTAGTGTTAACATCCTGCAGAGAGGTCATCATTAACCCGTGGAAGTAGAACTCTCATTAGCTGTGGGAACATGTTCCAAGCAGTAGCATACCATCAAACATAACTTGGCTCTGTGACTTCATTAACAGTTAGAAAGGATAATTCACATTATAAGGTACTTATCTGCAGAGACATTTTTTCCAACATATTACCATATTTTCTTTAATGCGGCTCAAACAGCCCGTTTATTTTAATTTCACAGGCCTTACCTAAAACTAGAGGCTGATCCCATGAGACATACTCCCATTTGCTGACACATGTTCTCTTTCTTTTAATGTGATGTATTCTATTTTGGCTGGATGTGAGGTTGAATTCGCTCCACAGATTATGATAATGTGTACATTGTCATCATCTCAACAGCTTGTAGTCAAAGTCTCATCACAGACAATGCTAATGCCGCTGTATTATTGATTTACAACTCCTCATCGCTTGGCCGGTTTCAGTGTCCTGATGGAAAATCGGATAAATATGCACATAAAATCGGCTTGTGTTCATTTGGTTGGCTGTTTACGAAGCACAGCATGTTTGTCTGTCATAAGCAATGAATTAACAAATGACACAAGCACACTCAGGGATTGGTATTAGCATAAAAAACATGGCGAATGATTGTAACCACATTCAGATGTTCTATTATATGATGTTGTTCTGCTAAGGGGTTTGTCAATTTAATTGTTGAGAAAAGCAATTTTCTCTCTGTCTGACTTTATTTTCCAACTATTGAATGTGTCAGTTTGTCATACGAAGTCATTTTCAAGGATTTAACTTGCTACTTTATTGTCACATTAGGTTTATTATTCCCCTTCCTTTTGGAGGGTTATTATCCTTGGCAATTCTCATTATTATTTTAGTTGTAACAGTGATGCAAAACAATTTTCCCCCTCTGTCTTGCAGCCATCGTTGTTCTCTTCATCACTCTGAGAAGGAGCAAAAAAGAGCCTCTCATCATCTCCGAAGAGGACATCCGAGAGAATGTCGTCACCTACGATGATGAGGGCGGAGGCGAGGAGGACACCGAGGCCTTCGACATCATCGCCCTTCGAAATCCGGCCGCGGCGGAGGAGCTCAAGTTCCGGCGGGACGTTCGCCCGGAGGCGAGGCACCACTGCGGTCGGTCCCGCAGCCGCAGGAGCCCGACTGTGGAGCTAGACGAGTCGGACGTGCACGAGTTCATCAAGCAGAGACTGGTGGAGGCCGACATGGACAACAGCGTGCCGCCCTACGACTCCCTCCAGACCTACGCCTTCGAGGGCCAGGGCTCACCCACAGGGACCATCAGCCCTGTAGACTCTCCTGGTACACAATCAGAGCAGGATTATAACTACCTGGACGACTGGGGGCCTGAGTTCCAGAAACTTGCAGAACTCTATGGAGAGGCAGAGTTGGATGTGAAGACCTAGTCTGTGATATCGCCTTTGTTCACACCAAATCTGTTTGAAACCCTGTTTTTCAAATTTTCAGTGAACAAAATGACGAAAACAGACGCTTTTAAACTGTTCCAGGTTTTTCAACGTTTACTGTTGAACTCAAAAGACTCCTCTATTTTTTTTTTCTTTTGTCCTTTTTTTTTTTCTTTTTCATTTTGTCGCTTTGGGTCATGGGTCGTTCATCTGAAAGTATTACATCAGATTTTAAGACTGAAGAAAATAATGAGAGGAAAAAAGGAAAAAGGATATTTTCCTCAGTGTATATTTTTTATTGCTCAATAAAGTCCTGAAATCCATGAGTGGATCTGTGAAAGGATGGTTTGTGTCTTCTTCCTCCACGAGTGGATGTATGGTGCAGCGTGCAGCTAAGATTATCATGGTAGGAGGCATTTTCAAAGGTGTTCGTGATTCACCACACAGAGGATGATGCCGAGCCAGACAAATGCACAGAAACGACACCTCCACTCAAATGAGCTTACATTATGCTCTCTGTCACGTACTCAACGCTGCAATTATCTCTGAGAAAGTAAGCTGCACGCGGTAATATATGTACATGTTAACATCAGTCTTCGATTTTGACCAAAGAGAAGCAACGTACTACTCCATGATTTTTAGAAAGCATAACAGTTAGTGGTTAATGTCTAGGTATTTCATTTTTACAGCTTTGCATCCCTTAAACTAGTGGTTCTCAACTTGTCTAGCGTCAGGACCCACCACCAACTCCTCCTTGAAAAAAAGCGACCCAAATTTTTGATATTTTTTCGTCCAATCAGATTTATTTACTGAAAAATTGTGCAGCTTGCACCTCAGTTGGTACAAATCATGTGACAGAAGCAAGAAACTGAATAAACCCAACATGTTTAACAAGCGCTTAACAGAAGTTTTTTGCCAGGCACACAGTTGCGACCCACTCAAAATGGCTCTGCGACCCACCTCTGGCTCCCCGCCCGCCAGTTGAGAACCACTGCCTTAAACAACACCTCAATGAATTTGTAGAGCCACAGACATCCAAACTGTAATCTTGGTGCCCCCAAGTTCCTCAATTATTTTTTTTAAGTTTGAGATGTGTGATGAGTCAGATCATAAGATCACCAAAGGATCAACTATTTTTGTCTTGTGATTTTTGCATTATTTCCTCTTATGGAGATAAGAGGGGATAAGGTGTTTTCAGACCGCAGGAACATTTTCGTAGCTCTAGGAACTGTTGGAACCCTCCCCCTTTTTTTATTGATTCTGCACTGCAGGAACTATGAACTATTTTAGTTCCTAGAACCCTTTTTAGAGGAAACTTTTTAGCTCCTGCTTCAGAGTAGGTACCATTGCGGTGCAAATGCAGACAGAAAAAAAAATCCCCATGGTGTGTAGTTCTCAGGGAAAAGGCTTTTAATGTGAAGTCCTGGCAGCGGAGAAGCGACAATAACAAGTATAGTCAAGAGAGTAAGATGTTCATAGATAATAAATATTCATTATGACCTGCTAATGTAAAAATAATGTCATCAACGCATATTTGAGTGGGTTGATTTATTGCAAATTACCAACCAGAAGAGTATAGAAAGTTTACTTTGAAGTGTGTTGTCTTAAGAGGAAACATTTCAAACATTTGCTGGTTTCAGAATCTTCAGAGTAAGTATTTTCAGCTTTCTAATTTCATGAATGAAAAGTAGTGATTTTTGAAATGTTGGTTTGAAAAAAGGATCTCTGATAAGTTATTTGGAGCAGAAATGTTGATGATCATACTCACATCTTTAAAGGAGTGAACATCTAATGATGGCAGATTATTTAAGTGAAAACTGTATCAGTTTTGATCTTTTGGGATATCAGTGTAGTATAGCTAACAAGCATGTAGCACATAATGTCTCACTGCTTTGGCTCAATATCAGTTCAATCTTTTACTTCAGTGTTGTGTAAATATAACGTTTTTTGGCAAATTTAGAGCTGAAACAATCTGTGATCACAATAATAATATATTATCGCGTTACTGCAACATTCCTGTAGCAATCAGTGGTCCAATAACACATCCAGGGGATAGAGAGTGACATTAGCATTCGCGTGGGGTTGTGTCTCTGGCCACCTGGCATTTGCAAGTTCAATATTCACTCTCCTTTTAGCTCTGATTTCCGACCAACTCCTGAGGGAAATATCTGGCTGTTTAGCCGCTAAATGCTCCACTGTGTGCACAACAAGCTAGCTGCTGAGTTTGTCTGTCTGCTGTTTGGTGCTGGAGAGAGGTTTGTAGAGATTATTCCCCCCATATAACAAACAGTTTCCTTATATGATGAGAACAATGAGAGTCAACCAAAACAGGAAACATGCAGGCAAAGCCATAATACCAAAACAATGAGCAGAAAAGCTTTTGTAAAGCTCTGCAGAGCTGTGGGTGAATACAGTTAGATGGTATTCTTGGGTATAATTAAAAGTGAAATATTTACATGCATGTGATACTGTCTATACGAAATAGCAGCTATAAAAATGATTGATTTGTCTAAAAACATCAGAAAAGCCACTGGAACTTAATATCTGCATTGTTTCATGGCAAGGTGGGCACAGTTAATCAAAAATGTAACTTCATTAACCATAAATCCATTAAGCCTTAAGTCTTAACGAAGTTAAGATGTTAACTTCGTTAGCCGTTAATTAGCTAATGCCGTTAGCAATCATGTCAGTGGATACTAAGTTCTTAAAGAGGCCATAGTGAATTAGAAAACTCAAAATATCACACGTTTCTGTTTTGAAAATCTACAAATAATTTAATCTTTTATTAAAATATCACCTCAATCTTCACTCTTGCGGTGCCATGAAAGTACCTTCACGTTGTTCAAGAATTTCACAAAAAAAAAGGGATGGGAATTTTGACTCGTTATTGAATAAGCTCCAAAGCACAGGAGGTGCTATTCAGCTGACTAGATTTGTTCCCCATTCATCTTACCATGTAAGCGCATTGTTCCAATGTTAACAGAAACCCAACTTACCAAAAGTTAAAAGTTTTGATAATTGCTTTTTCAAATTCAGGTAAAAAAAATTACTTTAAAAACCTAATTTCAATGTTAGCAAAGTTTCAATTTACTTTACCATTGGTCATGGTCAAGCTCCAACATCATTACAGAAATGTTTGAATTATTCTGTGAAGGAAAATTTACTCCATTCTCGCCCTTGGTCTGGCTATAGATTCAGGTAGATGTCAATCAAAAAGGGATTGGCCATGCCCATACACACTAGTTAAGAACTATCGTAATATCTAAATTCTAAAATTCAAAGTTCAATCCAACGGCAACTGGACTTAGTTGAAGATCTTGAAGACTTTTCACCTTTCCATCGTAAAGCTGAAGAACAGAAGAAGCCTTTCAGAGGGTTCAAGATCTTTAACCAAGTCCAGTTTCATAAAGCATTTCATTTACCATGACCTGGATGACTGAGAACCTACATGGAAACCTATATTCTGAAATAATATATAAATATTCACTCAGATTTTTCACAAGTGATTACAGAGACTCTCAACTTCGAAATATTAAATTAGCATTTTTATTGTTTCAGGGCCACATTTCCAAAAGCTAAGTTTTTGATGCCCAACAAGTGGACCTCTCATTGTCACATTTTAATGTTCTTCATGTCTTGGCAGCGCCATGGTAAAGTTGAGTCACCTTGTCTATGATATTCAGAGTACGTCACAATGGCATCTTTATAATACTTTATATGACATGAAATGGAAAGAGCCCCGCTGTCCTTTACGTCCATTAGTGCAACAAAGGATCATTTCTCTTTTATGACATATTATGTCGAAGAGAAAAAGAGGGTTGAACTTTAAAGTGGTGTAATTTTCTCAACAGGGAGTTTCTTCCAAAAAGGTACCAATTTGCTTTCATTCCGTGCTATCAAGCTGCGTTTAGATGGGAGTTTTGTCTGGTGAGCTCAAAAGCTGTCATGAAAGGACAATCGTCTGGACTAACGAGACTGTGTTGTCCGTAAAAGAACGACAGGAATTGAAAAAAAGTATTGGGAGTATTGAACGTCAGCATCAGTTTAAAACTTCTCTTTCACACGTTGTGTTTGTACAATCTTCTGTCCTGGTACTCTGCAGTTCAGCGTTCTCTAAATCGCAAAAGCTGGAGATGGTCTTCAGAAATACAAAGGGAGAACGATAATGAATATTTTAGATGCTCTTTTGGTACCTCCTGACATCGCGGCTCTTTTCTTTCCATAACAATCCACTGTCTGATTCTTCGTCCTCGTTTTCGTCCTCATTATTTTTCCTTTGCTCGCAGAAGGACTGTGCTTTTTTTTCTTTCACATCTGGTTTGAAACAAGGAGACAAGCAGAGGAATTCTTGCAACCTTTGTGAGGAAGCCCGAGGGCTGGCCCAAAGCAAAGGTCATATAAGGTGGAGGATAGAAGTTTTTCAAAAAGGCTGTCAGTACCTGCTTTTTTTGTATGATGTATTTTCTTTTTCTTTCTGGTTCTAGTCGAGGCTTTGTGTATTTTGCATGATTTGATTTCAGATGAATGCCGCCGTATTAAGTCAAATTCCCACAATCTGTCCTCTCTCCTCTCTTTTCATCCGTCATTTTTTCTTTCACGGAATCATTCGCTCTTTTGGTGTGGGAGCCGAGGGAAACATCGTCCACAAAACGGCAACTTTTCTGATGACTCCCGGGCTCCAGTTGTGTCAAGATTTATTTCTGCAGGCTACAAAATATGCTGGTATCTGCCCTGGAGGGATGTGTTTGTAAACAAGTGGAAACTGGAAATGTTGAGGTTGTTTTGGGAAAAAGGGAGGGGGGCGGTGTCTTTGCTCTGGAGGACGTATATAGATGCTTCCCTCGGCAAGGAGAGAGCTCCAAATGGTCGAATTGTTTGTAAGCGTGAAAATCAGCCTTTCAATCATTCCCTAAAAAAATGTCTTTTTGGACGTGAGTCAAACACTGGTGTGCAGCTGTTTGGACATTTCTAAGAGAGCCTTTCAAGGGCCAAAAAGCCCATTTGTCCATGGACTCAGTGAGAAAAAAAATAAGCATTTAAGTAACACAGCTCTTTTCCTTCACACTGCATTGAGAGCACTCATTATTTGCCAGTCGGCTAGTTTGAGTTTTTTTAAACATAAGAATGAGTTGCCTTGTTCTTCATACTGCTGTCATAAAAAAAAAAACAGAATACTGAACTTGCTTGTTGTAATTTTTGTCTCTCTGAAAAGACAAAAATGTAATTTGGAGGACTTGTGACTTTAGATAAAGAAATCACATTTTAAGATTATTGAACTTTACGTCTTTAATCCAGACATAAAAACAGGAATCAGGAGGAATGTTGT